GCCTGTCAATCGTGACGAATTAGGCAAATCCTCGCTATAGTCAACCCCGTTAATTTATTAGATCGACAATCATAAACGTAGTGGTTTATATAGGTACTCTGGATAATCGTGCTCCACTGGGTGGATCCGTGGATAATTTTTCTTCTGCTTAATCCGTTTTATCCACATTGCTATGTGGGGGTCTTAAGATAATAATGGATTTTAATGCCTTTTAATCCACCAATGTCGAGATCAAATAATACTTTTAACCATTACCAAATCAATTAATACGAATATTAAAATCAAGAGAAAGTGCAAAGTGGGCGAGGCACGCATGCTACAAAGAGGCGTAGTACTCGTAGTGCCTATCAGTTGCAGGCTTATATTGTTAAATATACCGTATTATGCAATATTGGAATGCAAACATAAATAATATGAATTACGGAGGTATTCGTAGTTTAGCGTGAAGTTACCATTGCGACATCTAGCGTCCAGTAACAGAATAAGGTTTAAAGAATTTATTTTCAAAAAGACAAACAATGCCACTTACATGAAAATAATTATTACATTTTATTAATTTTATTCTAATGGTCGCCGAACACTCACTCTAAAGCTTCACAATCTCAATTGAATGGTGAAAATTTTTCCTTTATATATTCAGACAGCTGAGACTTAAAACTATTGAATGAGCTTACATTTTTTATATTACAAGGCAATTTATTATAAATCAATGCTCCTTCAAAAGTAATGCTTTTTTTTGCGTAATTTGTTCGTACTTTTGGTAGTACAAGTAAGCTAGGTCGACGAAGACTGCGTTTCAGAATTTTTTCATGAATCGTCCAATGTTTTTGGGAAATAAACATAATATTTGCCCGAATTTATGGTGCTTTTTCAAAGTGATCACGATATTTCTGCAACATTCGGGTTGCGTGGCTGAATTTGCTCGCAAATCCTGAACATTTTCTAAATTAAGAAAAAAGAAAATGGAAAAGAAAGAAATATGATCTCTATTTAAAATACCTTACGGTTCGTACTAAGCTGATGGGGAGTATCATAAAGCATTTCTCTATATTTCTTAATAGCCAATCATGCGAAAATTATTGCAATGATGCACACAACTGTCTGTAGACAATTCTTTCCTTGCTAATGTGTGAGTTTGTCCACACTAGTTTTAGTACAAAGTGTCGCTTAGTGCGCTTAGCCACTTCCTCTTGTTTCCAAATTACCACCACCTGGAATAGTGAGCTGGAATGTTTCACCATTTCTTTGTTATTATAACATTACCCTCGCCTGTTATTGAAAAAAATTATTAATTATTAAAAAGCAAACAAAACATACTGAATCAAACTTACCAAATGAAATAAAATAGTTTGTTACTATAATATTCCCACGGTTCTGGTTTTCACGCAGTTATAATAGTTTCTAAATGTTTTTATGGCACAGATATAACATAGAAATATTTTTAAAATTTCCGTTTCAGTTTTCATTTAATCCGACACCAAATGAGATTGTTAATTTTTAATTATAATTGCAAACATGCTCGGCTATGAAGGAAAACATAGTGTGGAAACCTGCACGATTGAGAAATAAAATATTTCGATTACATGTTTGTGATATCCGCCAACACGTACTGGAGTAACGCGGCCGATAAATTGCTTCCTTTCACAAATGAGAGGAGATCCAGCTGTGAGACTGTAGTCACATAATATGGCAGTTTTCGTTTTTTATTCGAATACCGTGTAGTGGCGGTTAAGAATATCCACTACCACATATCTTCCCGTGGGTGTCGTAAAAGGCGACAATGGGAAACAGGTAGGAGATGGGCAGCAGCATCTTCCTGATAACAGCAAAAATAAAATAAAAAAAACTGCGGTTGCCAACCCGCTCGGCAAGCGTGGCAACTATGGCAAATACCCCCCAAATGGAAAAAGTTACAAAGAGACGGCCCCCAGTCCCCGGCGGCCCCGCTATTCCTGGCTACGGTGGCGACCATGGTAACGGCGGGGCAGGGGGTGCTAAGAATCTCCGGTGGAGGTTCGGTTGCCACCTACGACGACTCGACCTAGCAACATACAACGCACGCACCCTGTGGACTGACGAGAAGATTGTGGAGCTGGAAGAAGAGATAGACAAGTTACTCTGGCATTGGCATGGCCTATTATAGGATTATCCGAAGTCCGAAGAGAGGGGGAGGAAACGGTAATCCTCAAATCCGGCACTTGCTCTATCACCGGGAGGGCGACCATCTGTCCCAAGGAGGAGTCGGATTTATCATCCACAAGTCTCTCGTTAACAACGTTGTAAAGATTGAGTGTGTCGACGAGGGTTGCGTACCTTATAATTAAGATTAAGATTCTGAAATCACCAAACGGTATTCGCTGAAGGTCATACAGGTTTACGCACCAACCTCGGCAGACCCCGATGAGGAGGTGGAGAAAATATATGAGGATATATCTAGAGCCATGCATTCCTCCAAAACCCAATATACGGTGTTAATGGGAGACTTCAATGCAAAACTAGGCACAAGAGAAAATGGTGAGCTGAAAGTAGGGAAATTTGGAATAGGGCAACGGAACCGAAGAGGCCAGCAGCTGGCCGACTTCTTGGAGAAAGAGGGACTCTTTATGATGAACTCTTTCTTCCAGAAGCGGCCCCACAGGAAGTGGACCTGGTCGAGCCCCGACGGTTCGACAAAAAATGAGATTGACTTCATTATAGCGACCAGACGACAACTGTTCAATGATGTCTCAGTGATCGCGAGGGTGAAAACCGGCAGCGATCACCGAATGGTTAGAGGCACACTGAACCTAAACGTTAAGTTGGAGAGGTCTCGTCTAATGAAGTCAACGCTCCGTCCCCCTCGTGCTCTAATCCAAAGTTCCGAAACCTTTCAGCTCGAGTTACAAAACCGTTTTCAGTGCCTAGAAGACTGCAATGAAGTGGACGATATGAATGACAAGCTCGTGGAAACTGTTCATGTGGTCGGAGCTAAGTTCTGCAAGACCCGCCGCAGAAGAACACAAAAACTCTCCGATCACACTCTTAATCTCATGGCTGTTAGACGGGAGATGAAGCTACACTCTTCATCAGATTTGACAGCATACAGGCAACTGAACAGACAGATCTCCAAATGCATGTGGCGAGACTTACGCAACTTCAATACAGCTCGTATTGAAGAAGCGATCGAGCGGCACCAAGGCTCCAAAGTCTTTGCCAGAGATCTGTCTGCCAGAAAGAGCCAACTGTCAAAGCTGAAGACAGAATGTGGCAGCATCGTTTCCGGGGCACTTGAGATTTTGAGTGAGATTGAGAGGTTCTATGGGCAGCTGTACACGTCATCGTTGGAGCCACACGCGAGTGTGAGTAACGATCCAAGAGCGTGTCTTATCCGACATTATTCCGATGATATCCCGGACGTCAGTCTGAGCGAGATTAGAAAGGCTCTCCAGCACCTTAAAAAGGGCAAGGCCCCAGGCGAGGATGGAATTGCAGCGGAGCTTCTGAAAGCGGGTGGAAAACCGGTACTTGAAGTCCTTTAGAAGCTCTTTAATTCCGTCCTCCATGGTGGCATTACACCGGAGGCGTGGAGCAGAAGTGCGGTGGTCTTGTTCTTCAAGAAAGGCGACAACGCTCTCTTGAAGAACTACAGACCGATTTCCCTTCTGAGCCGCGTCTACGTGCTGTTTTCGAGAGTCATTACGAATCGTCTCGCGCGCAGAATTGACGACTTCCAACCTCCCGAACAAGCCGGTTTCTGAAAAGGCTTTAGCACCATGGACAACATACATACCCTGCGGCAAATTGTACAAAAGTCAGAGGAGTACAATTTGCCACTATGTCTGGCGTATGTGGACTGTGAGAAAGCCTTTGATTCCGTCGAAATTTGGACGGTGCTCCAGTCCCTTCAGCAGTGCCAAGTGGACTGTCGGTATATCGAAGTGCTGAAGTGCTTGTACAGTAGGGCTACGATGGCTATCCGAGTACAGAACCAGAGTACGAAACCTATCCAATTGCAGAGAGGTGTAAGACAGGGTGACGTCATATCCCCGAAACTCGTCACCGCTGCATTGGTAGACGTTTTCAAGCTTCTGGACTGGAAAGGATACGGTATCAACATCAATGGCGAGTACATCACACACCTTCGATTTGCCGACAACGATATAGTCCTTATGGCAGAATCGCTGGAGGACCTAAGCACTATGCTCAATGACCTCAATAGTGTTTCCCAACGGATAGGTCTTAAGATGAACATGGACAAAACAAAGATCATGTTTAATGTCCATGTCACACCTATGCCGGTAGTTGTTGGGAGCACTAAGCTCGAAGTTGTTGACGAGTATGTTTACCTGGGACAAATAGTCCGACTAGGCAAGTCCAACTTCGACCGAGAGGTCAATCGACGGATTCAACTCGGTTAGGCAGCGTTCGGGAAATTACGGCACATCTTCTCGTCAGGTATACCTCAAAACTTGACCAATGCGTGTTGCCAGTGATGACTTACGGAACTGAGACGTGGTCCTTCACTGCTGGCCGTATGTGGAAGCTCAAGGTCGCTCAGCGAGCTATGGAGAGGGCTATGCTCGGGGTGTCTCTGTGTGATAAACTTAGAAATGAGGATATCCGCAGTAAAAAAGAGTAACCGACATAGCCCAACGGATTAGTAAGCTGAAGTGGCAGTGGGCCGGCCATATAACTCGAAGAACCGACAACCGATGGGGAAGAAAGGTTCTAGAGTGGCAGCCTCGTACCGACAGGCGAAGTGTTGGGCGTCCCCCCACTAGATGGAGTGACTACCTAGTAAAATATGCAGGAAGTCGATAGATGCAGGTGGCTGAAGACCGTGCTTTGTGGTATTCCTTGGGGGAGGCCTATGTTCAGCAGTGGACTTGTGAAGGGCTGTAATGGTGATGATGATTCGAATACCGAACATCCAGCCCGCTTGAATAAATCACTCGATCAACCAGTATATCTCAATCAGATTTGGGATGTATACAACAAGAATAAATAAAACGCATTTAATATATCATATTATGTAACAATTTTTATTTACCAATATTTATAATATATTAACATAATATGTGGTCCATTACCACCTTCTCTCTGATAATATTATAATACAATGAATTTTTCACATCAGTGGCCTCTGAACCCATAACAAATGAAACAAATAGAGCTAAGACTAAATTTGAAACTCTAAGAGCGACGATCACGAGTCAAGTAATAAAACGACGGCCGCGACTATCGACCGGCCCTCGCCATAGACAACAATACTACAAATAAAAAACTAAAAGGAAAGGTAAACATCCGATATATATTAACTATTATTATTTAACCTAAACAACGAGGGGGCGCTAGTGTTGACGCTCTAATTAAAATAACTCTATAACACCCCATTGTATCCCAATAAGTAAAAATTTAAAAAAAATTATATTTCGACAAAGAAATTATTAGGCCCTGGCGCCATTAGCGCAACTAAACGCCGCCCCGTTGTATTCCTTCACGTTATGTAAATATCATTATACATTATATACAATGGGAAATAAATATTCTATATGCAAGAAGGTAGTATATCTGCATATGTACACGACCACGCCTACTGACAGTGCTCGACAACCATCTAAGAAGTATTTATATCACAAAATAAAAACTCCTTTTTCCTTGCGGAACTATCGTCAACTGAACTATTTATATGCAAAACTTAAAATAATCCAACCGAAATTATAGACAGAAAGCGTACAAAATATGCGAAAGAAAGGTCGAGTTTAGTAAGCGGAAGGTGTTTTTTTCGTATTATTTCAAATATGCTAGACGTACAATTTTCAAATTCAGTATCTTATAGTCCCACAAAATTGGATCTGTCTACTCTATTAATATTGGCGTACACTTTTTGGCTTAGCTAATCTGGGGAGAAAAATATTCCGAAGGTTTTCGAGTCGATTGCACAACTTGAGTTGCATTGTGGGTTATTCGTAATCAATATTTTATGGCCAAAGTCTATATGAAATCGAATCGAAACACCTTAGGAATGATATTCTGTTACACTGCGTACAATAAATTGCATACAAACGTCACTAAAATTACAAAGCATTTTTGGTTTCCACGTTGTACAAAGAATTTAATCCAAAAATATTACTCGGCCCATACCCACATAACTCGGCCAAGTATCCGAACTGTCCCAATGGTTTTAAAAAATACCCACAAAATCCGCTTCAATATTATAATATTCACCACACTTAAAAACGCGTCAAAAATCTCGAATCACAATGATCGGTAATCGATGTGTCGATTTTTTTATCGAATAATCATAAGACAGCCAAAGCTTAGGACCGACACTTGTATCGATGCAAAATTCTAATTTACTCAAAAATTAAACTTATATGTACTTTTGCTCACCCACAACACTATGAATGATGTGTTATTGAGTTTGAATAACCAATAGGTGAGATGCCTATCGAGCAAACTCATTTAATTTCAATTCCTTGCATAAATACAAAAATTTATAATTGTAATTACTACAATTCTCACGTAAAATCAACAGCGCGATCTGACTCACTTGTATTATTGCTTCTGTTTAAAATAAAACTATTCACATGCAGGTCATTTTGTAAAATTGACAAATTAACACGCATCACAATTTTCATATCTATATTGCTTGCGAGTAGCGAGCGATATTGCAAGTCGATATGATGGCGACCGTGTCTGTTGCGTGGCTTATTGCTAAGGTTTTTAACGAAATGACTAATTTTTGTGTAAATTAAATCTCCTAAGAACTGCCCTCAATTTGTATTATACAAACCTAAACCCCTTATAAACATCTCGCATAAAAATAATTTATAAATAGTATTTTTTAACACAAGATATTTTACTATTTTTAATAATGTGTGTTCTAAGAACAACATTTGATACAGTTAATGTGTGTGTGTGATTACGTAACTTATTCATGTTTTAATCAATACACAACAGACAAGACAGTCATCACTGCCAAAGTTTTCTGTTAAAATATCAGGTGGTGTGACGACAAGCGCGACGAGGCAATCTTACATTAAAATTTGGTGCAAAATTATTCTGGTGAAGCTGACAGTAGGGGGCGCTAGTGTCCAACGGGCTCCACGTAGTTGGCGGGGTAGAGGCCCACGCGGCCGTCCTTGCGCCCTTTACACCAGCCCTGCTCGTCCTCGTCTTCAAGTTTCTCAAATAAATCACCTAGAAAGGGTAATTTCAGTTTATTACAATAAAAATTGATTTAGTGTAATTAAGGATTTTAACAACCGAGGGACCGTAAGAGACGACAGAGGGAAAAAGATGAAACAGGAGATGAGCAGCAGCATCTTCCTGATAACAACTAAAAATAACGCTATAGTAGCTGGATAATGCAAGGATTTTTAATATAGGAATGAATATTAGACTTAATGTGTTGTAATGTAGCAAATTATGTGTTTAGCATACGAGTATACTGATGTTAAGTGCCAGTATTATTTAATTCATATTTTAAGGAACGTAAACCCAAAAACCATACCTACTCGTATAAATCAAAAATAACTCTGCTAGCTCGTGATGCTGATTATGTCTGTATGTATTATAATGTAGCATATTTAGCAGAAGTTTAGTATAATGTATAGCCTTATGCCTGCACTATGCAGTGTAGTGTAACACGCCTCACTCTCAGAAGCTTAGGGGATTGCTCCCAGTGTAGGCATAAATTACGCACACGAATAGTTACGCAGTGTAAACTCAGTGTAATGAAGTTTTAATTCAGTATTGTTGTTTATTGTACTTTATTGCAGTGTAATGTAGTGAAGTTTAATGTGATTTAATATAATTTATTGAAGTTTCATGTAGTTTCTTGCACTGTGATGTAGTTTACTAAAGTTAAGGCCTGTCTCACTCTGCGCTTTAGGCATGAAAATAAACTAAGCTGCGAGGCTCCTACAAGGGCAAATTCCGTGAGAACGCCACGCGCGCGCTCGAGCTGACGCGCGCCTTACTTTCAAAAAAAGTATTCTCTTATAATTATTTACGCACTTTTGATATTTATTTTTGAGCAAGTATGGCCACTCGGGTGCTTAAATGACAATAGGAATGTTGACTTTTCATTATTTACTGTTCTTAAGGATATCAAAAGGTAAGATATTATTACTTATAGGTAGATCTAGATAATTAGGTACCTAGTTACTGACGCCATAGTTACAGATGTATTATTTGATTAGCGATCCGACCACAGCTTCGGAGGTTTCCGATTTTCTTGCGTATAATGTCAATCCTACTAATGCAAGATCAGCATAATTATACTGGTTCTTAGCACAGAATAGAGTTTTTTTTTTAAACGGTTAGTACAACATATTATAAGTTAAACACTTACTTGGTCGATAAAAGAAAGAGATTGAAAATAGGACCACTTCTCATTGCCACTTTTTCATTGATAATGCTGTCGCGTGTCGCATTTTCGTAAAAAGCAAAAAATATGAAACAAAAAATGGTAAGTAGGTAAATTATCTGATTTTCAAAGACATTCACGTTGTTATAATCTTAATTTTCCTCAATGTTGCATATTAAACTTCCTCACTTTGAACAATAATATTCTTATTATCAGCAAATTACTAATACATTGCATAACACCTCGGTGTATTCTTCTACCAACTAATATCAAAGGATTCAATTTGTTTTCTCACAACACCTAACCCAACAGTAGAAGTGGCCCTAACAAAGGAGCGTAACGGGCTAAGTGATACAGAATCTCGCACGCGTCGCGACAATCGGTAGGCTATTTCAACGAAGGTCGCTTCCGAGGCGTGCAAAGTATTATGAACATTAATCACGTTGAAATTAGGTTTAAACTCGCAAGTTTGCTATCAGAGAGTGATTTTTCTGTACTTGTGTGTAGTTTATTGCAGTGTAATGTAGTTAATTAAAGTTTGATGTAGTTTATTGAAGTTTCGTGTAGATTACAGTAGTGTACTGTAGCCTCACCCTGGCGGAAGCTGAGCTCGTCGCTCTCTGCGCCGGTGTAGTCGTAGAGCGCGCGCACGGGCACGCCGGGCTCGCCGGTGTCGGTGAGTTTATAGTAGTGTAATGTAGAGTAGCGCGTAGTGTAGCCTCACCCTGGCGGAAGCTGAGCTCGTCGCTCTCTGCGCCGGTGTAGTCGTAGAGCGCGCGCACGGGCACGCCGGGCTCGCCGGTGTCGGTGAGTTTATAGTAGTGTAATGTAGAGTAGCGCGTAGTGTAGCCTCACCCTGGCGGAAGCTGAGCTCGTCGCTCTCTGCGCCGGTGTAGTCGTAGAGCGCGCGCACGGGCACGCCGGGCTCGCCGGTGTCGGTGAGTTTATAGTAGTGTAATGTAGAGTAGCGCGTAGTGTAGCCTCACCCTGGCGGAAGCTGAGCTCGTCGCTCTCTGCGCCGGTGTAGTCGTAGAGCGCGCGCACGGGCACGCCGGGCTCGCCGGTGTCGGTGAGTTTATAGTAGTGTAATGTAGAGTAGCGCGTAGTGTAGCCTCACCCTGGCGGAAGCTGAGCTCGTCGCTCTCTGCGCCGGTGTAGTCGTAGAGCGCGCGCACGGGCACGCCGGGCTCGCCGGTGTCGGTGAGTTTATAGTAGTGTAATGTAGAGTAGCGCGTAGTGTAGCCTCACCCTGGCGGAAGCTGAGCTCGTCGCTCTCTGCGCCGGTGTAGTCGTAGAGCGCGCGCACGGGCACGCCGGGCTCGCCGGTGTCGGTGAGCGCGCCGCCCGACTCCTCGTCCCACTCCTCCTCCTCGAACGGGTTGTCCTGTCGCCCGCTGTCCTTGCTCGGCGACGTCTTGTTCGACTTCGGCGCGCTCGCCGTGCCGTTCCTGGTGAAAAGTTTATAATATTACAGCTGTTGTCTATTGCGAACCTATGATAGAAAGTGAATGATGATGATGAATTAGTCTATTCCTAAACAGATAAAAAATAAAGGAAAATTCACTAAAACATTTAAAAAATATAAAAAAAAAATGGTAATAATTACGTCGTCTACGTAATTGATTAATTTTGCTAATATAAAAATATCTTAATAATTACATACTTACAAGTTTAATGGATTTTTCTTGCTATAAAACGATCATTTTGTTTAATCGTAACTACATAAAACTGTCTGTCACTAAGCTAACGATTTAACTTCGTAAACTAACGTAACAAACGGTTTCACTTCGGTGATGCTGAGTAGCGGTGATACATTCGAATTGTGAGACAACATCTCGCCACTGGAGCCGTGGGTATGGCGGCATAGCGGTGAGCCGCACATGAATATCTCCAGACGTTCTATGCTAGAGGGAGATGGAAGGATAAACGTTAAGGATTAAGTAGGATAAAGGAAATTTGGCAAAGTTGGACACGATGTAGTGATGATTTTTTAAAGTCGTTTTTATTGATCTAATATTCACCAAAGATACTATACAATGTCGTTAAAAAAAATTAAATCACTCCATTTTCCCACACCTGCTACCGTACGTATCCCATATAGATAAATGAGAAAAGAAAAGAGGTAGTTTGGGACACAGTTTAGATTTTATTTTTTTTATAGAAGAGGGGGCAAACAACCATGCGGCCCACCTGATAGTAAGTGACTACCGCCGCCCATGAACAACCGCCACACAAGAGAATTGCAGATGCGTTGCCGGCCTTTTAGAAAGGTGTAAGCTCTTTTCTTGAAGGTTCCTAAGTCGTATCGGTCCGGAAAAATCGCTGGTGGTAATCGATTCCACAAGGAAGTTGTGCGAGGGAGAAAACTTCTTCTAAATCGCACAGTGGTGGACCGCCAATCATCCAAATGATATCGATGGTATAGCGAGTTTTGTCACGATGTGCGATGGTGAAATTGAGCGCCTGAAATTAGTCCGAACAATTCCTCAGACCACTCCCCGTGGTAAATGCGATAAAATACGCAAAGAGATGCAACATCTCTACGCAGTGCCAGTGTATCGAGCCGATCAGAAAGAACTCGGTCGTCGAGGAATCGAATCGCTCTGCGCTGGATGCGGTCAAGTGGAAGGAGCTGGCACTGGGGTACCCCGGCCCAGAGATGAGAACAGTATTCCATGTGAGCCCGAACTTGCGCTTTATAAAGTTGCAAGCGATGTGCCGGCATGAAATACTGTCTCGCTCTGCTGAGCACGCCAAGCTTTTTAGAGGCCAATTTGGCCTTCCCTTCCAAGTGACCACGAAACTACACACTATTCGATATGTCGACGCCGAGGATTCCGATGCTAGCTGAAGCAGCAAGGGGAGTGCCTTGAAACTGAGGAGATACGACAAAGGGTTTCTTTTTAGCGGTAAACGCGCAAACTTGTGTCTTCTGGGGATGGAACTGGACTAGATTTAGTCGCCCCTAATCCGAGACTTTGTTCAGCAAAGACTCAACTTCAGACACAAGTTTGTCCCGGTACTCGGCGTTGTTTTCCCGAGAAACATTGGCACGGCCATTATAAAAGGCATCACCAGTGCTGTCGTCTGCATAGCGATGAAGGCCTTCACTATGTCCAAACTAACGGCCAATGCCTCCCCTCTAGATTCCATTATTTTGGAGAACAAGGATGTGATGGCGATAGGCCTGTAGTTGGACGGGTCTGAGCGGTCGCCTTTTTTAGGGATCGGGTGCACCAAAGCTGTCTTCCATGAATTCGAGACTACGCCTTGGGAGTAGGAGTACTGGAAAAGACGCGTTAAAACCGGTGCCAACTCCGGAGCATACGTCTTCAGCACAATGGGAGGGACTCCATCGGGCCCATTCTACTTGCTGACGTCCAGGGAGAAGAGTGCTTTGCGAACCGAGCGCTGTGTAAACCGCACATCCAGCATGGAGCACTCACATCGCGGTATGGTCGGCGGTGTGTTCGTGTTCCCCCCGTCATCTAGAGTCGAGTTGGACGCAAAGAAAGCACAACAGATCGGCTTTCTCCTTTGCGGCATGGGCCAGTGAATCGTCCGCTCTGTGCAGAGATGGAAGAGATGGCTGACAGAAGTTTCCTTGGACAGCCTTGGCGAGAGACCAGAATGCACGGGTTCCCGAAGGAAGGCGAACTAGCTTCTCGCCAATTCTGCCGATGTGCTCAGATCTTGCCTTGGCAATGACGCTTTTGAAGGAACTGGAGGCGGAATTATACTTCTTTTTAATAGCGCTGGTGTTTATATAGTGGCAGCTAAAGTATCCACTACCCCATATAATCCTATGGGTGTCTTGAGTGAAATGAAACAGGATAGGTGTAATATATAAGGTATGTAGGGAAGGTAATTACTCACAAGGAAAATATTATGTCAAATAGTTAACAATCGATTTACGATAGGCAGCATGGACAGAATGGGCAGCAGCATGTTCCTGATAACAACTCAAATTAATAATCAAACTGCATTGAGTTATATGTACTACGTACTAGAGAAGACATTCTAAACAAAAATTGTGTTCTACTCTATGCGCGACTACTACTCCCGCGCATGCGCGAAGACTTCAATTTGATATAAAATAAGATATTAATATAAAATAAATATAAAAAATTAATAAAAAATATCTTAATTTAAAATAAACAAACATATTTCTTAATAAAATATAAAATAATTATCTTATGGAATTCATAAATCATCAATTTACGCAATATTTAGTTTGTACGGATTGCAGTACAGTTCAGTTAAACATAGGCAATGTTCGGAATGCGAATTCTATTAATTCTAGTACGTAGTACATATATATCGATGACAAACTGTATATATTTATGTGATACTTACGTGACGGCTATGGGTGCGCTGATGGTCTTCTTGTCGATGGTGTTATTCGCGCTGGTGTTGTTGGAGTGCGCATTGTGGGCGTTGTGGGTATTGTTGGCGATTGGCGCGGTGTTATTGGCAGTCGGCTCGGTGTGGTTGGTGTTTTTGCTCGGTTTGTTCGAATTAATCGGCGGCAACTCCTGTAGTAACATTGTTATTGTAATTTAAAAAGAAAAAATATGTACATTTCAAAGTTATTTTGCAATTTTGATATAATAATATATTTATTTTTTACATGTAAAGGCACAAACGTGAAATAACAATCATTTATTTAGTATTATCAATAAAAGTTATTGGTTGATAAGTTTAAATCACTTTAGACGTGATGACGTGTAATAAAAATTTGCAATTATATGATAAATTTGTTTAAAAACTATGAAATGTACACATTTTTACAACACAATTCCAGTAATTAATTAAGAAAATGAATATTATGATAATAATTTTTATACAAATTTGAATTTATTATAATATTATGTATACAAAAATGTGATTGATCTAGTATTTTTAGTATTTTGATCAGGACACAAATTTTCAAAATAGACAAAGACATTTGTTATATTTGTCACATATGCACGAATCTTAGTGTTACATAAACCTAAAGAAATGAAAATAAACCGAAAGACAGTGGACAAAAATGTTTTCTATTGTTAGCCAAGTTGTATGTCACCCGTCTCATTTTCAACCCAAAAACAAAATTTTGAAAAATGAGAGAAAAAAGAGAACTTAATCTTTAGTTTTCATCACTATGTTGTAACAATTGTATGCTTCATTTATTTATATATAAAGACATCACGTCAAAAATGAATCTCATTAACCAATAACGTTTTATTTCTAAAATAATTATATATTTGATAAATTAATTATATATTGGGTTAATATTGAAACTTGTTACGAACGTGCCAAAATGCATAATGTCTAAAGCTACATTCATCATGCAAGATTTAAAAAATAAACATGAAAAGCGTTTCTCTATACTATACTAAGATCGAAATGAGAATGACCCATTACCACACTAGTTCGATTCATGCAAACATACAACTAAGAATTACTATAAGTTTACTAAAAAAGATAACAAGCTTTATCTGCTAACACTGCGTACTTATTTTTGTTTCATTCTCATTTAAATCGTCTTCGGGCCTAATCACAGTTTCCCACTGTGAGGGAGTATTTTACTTTGAACCTTACGTCCAGGAATTAGCGAATTGAATGAAAACCATTGATAGATTTCACCTACAGGGATCAAGTGTGCTTAGTCCCGGTGAAATGCACACACACTCAAACAACTTTCTACGATATTATATGACGGATTCGTACGACTACTAACTTTACTATATGCAGAATAAGGTCTTAATTATAACGTAATTAGTTGTTTTCTCGTGTGTGCAATAAAATTTGTAACAACTCGTGATATCTAACTCGATAGTAAAATTGAATGTACGATACTTTTTAGCCTAATCCATAATTTTTAAAATCAGTATATTATACAGACAAAAATTTATTTGCACACAATTACTCAATAATATGTATTTGTCGTGTAGTGGCGGCGCAAGGAAATCCACTACCACGTTTTATCCAGAGCAGAGGATGTCGTAAGAGACGACAAAATAAAATGAAACTGGAGATAGGCAGCACTACATTCCTGATAATATCTTAATATATTAAAAATGCTGCGAATGCCGACCTGCCATGCGTACCACGCTATGCTATGCTATTATGGCAAATATCCTAAGGAGGCAATCTAAGGGGAGGCCTTTGTTGAAATTTGATAGGCGGTAATGATGATAACGGTGAATTTAAATAATAAAAGCCTATATTTCCCACACCTGGGTTTACCTCTTAATTTATGCCTGGGACAAGTTTGTCACACTGCTCCAGTGTATATGGAGATTTCTCAACGTGACCTCGAATATTTTTCCTTATCTATAAATGTTCTACCAGTTGAGAGTTCCCGAAGCATAAAAATATACTATTATGTACAGTGTACACGTTACAACATATCGAGTAGGATGACCACAAGTTGTGTATAAAGTGAGACGTACGTCCTCGCTGACTGGTCGCTGATTCAGCAGAGTGATGGGGCCGGTGGGCAGGCTCTCCTTGGACTTGCCCTTCGCGATGTCCCGGAACTCCTCCGTGTACTCCTGCTCACCACACACGCGGTCACGACCGGTCGGGCACGCGGACACGTTGGGATATCGACTTTATTTTGTGCGTATACAAATTAAATTGATTTGTCAACCACGGTATGTGTACCAAAGATGATGATGAAACCATCATGGAGATTTTTTTAAGTAAAATATCGATTCGATTGATAGTTAAAGTATAATGTCATGAAATTATCGATAGTTTTTCATCCCAACGTCTCGGCGTGTCAAGGCAAAATCAAAATGAACAAATGAAAAGAAAAAAAAATTAGATGGGGTAAAATATAACACTTCCATACAAAGCTCGTGTTTTAGACATATAAAGCGAATTGCTGTTGCACTGCGGTGGCTTGCTGATGGATCGTACGGACAAACCATGCAATGGTGTCGATAGTGTGAGCTTGCATGGCGGCCTTCGGGGCTTTCTGATACATATGGTTATTTATTCAATAATATAGCCTGTATATTGACTTGATATATTTAAATATATTAATTACTACTTTTATAATTTGTATTGGAGTTTTTGTCTTCCAGATCTAAACACAACGTAAGATAATCAAAGGGTTTTATTGCTACATTACACCATTGTTCTCAAGTAACGTTGATTTGTAATTTATGACTATACGTCTCGTCGTCCTTAATTCATATTTCAGCCTCGTCCTACTGATATAACAACCCTCTATGGACTATCCGCAGTACTTTTACCGGAACAGTTTTTCACCTATTATAAGTGAGTGTTGGACTTTGTCCTACTTGATTCTAAATGTTGCCTTAACCGAAGATTTAAAGGGAACTGGCTTAGTTTAACAAAAACCTCTTTATTCTTGGCTTGAAGACAAAGAAATTGTAATTAGATGACTGACGCTGGTAATATATTTTACTCACGTTACGAAGAAGTAAATCGTTTGGGTAGAATGCGTGGGTTGTTATGATAAGAATTGATGTAACCAAAGATGGTAAAGCACACTGGCTTAATAAAAGCCTGTTCACTCTTGCCTTAAAGACAACCAAATTGTAATGAGATAGAAACAGTGTATTATTATTGTATTATATTTGTGTATTATTTCACCCACAGAAATCAAATTACGTATCTGTACGCATTTGGATGAAGCGAACCGTTTGGGTCGATGGAATGTCAATATCGAGAGCAGCATGAAATTTTTATAGGTAGTTTTTTGTGGTTTACTTCTAATATGGAAGAGTAGACCGTATAGTGGCGGTGCAAGAATATCCACTACCCTATATCTTCATATGGGTGGCGTAAGAGGCAACAAACGGCAACAAACCGGGAGATAGATAGAAGTTTTTTTTTATACGATAAGGGTGACAAACGAGCACACAGCCCACCTGATGGTAAGTAGTTGCTGTGGCCCATAGACATTTACATCTATCTTCGATTAAGAATCAAAATGCAGATGCGTTGTCACCCGTGAGGACTTAGGTGGAATGCCTCGTTTCCAGTAAATAGGGTCTCCGGTTCTCTACACTCACCATACGAAACACAGCAGCGTTAAGCTGCTATTTTACGCTGGTATTCTGTGAGAGCGTGGTTCTTCCCCGGTCGAGCCGACCTATTCGTGCTACAACCATAATATAGCTGCAGCATGGCTCTACCACGTATAAGAAGTGTCTTCTTAATAATAATCCGCCTGCCAAGCGTGCCAACTATGGCAAGGATCCCACTCATGAGGCAATCTATGGGGAGACCTATATTCTGAAGTGGACTTTGATTTGATGTAATGATGATAATGATGATGATGGTAAAATGGTGTATCACCCATTTATGAATAGTCTAAATAGACAGGTTGATATGCTATTTTATTTTAAACAATATAAAGTTTAAACAATCACTCCATGTGAGGATTCTTTAAAATGTATATGGGCATAATTGTCTGCTGGTGGTTGAGATCTTGATTTGTGCATATAAACAAATCTGTACAAACAAATAATTCTAGTGTTGGTGATTATGAGAGCGTCAATTTGGCCGAAATAACCTTCCCCAGGTCCAGTGAGGGAATGATCTAGTTGTGAAGGTACACCTTGGTGATCGGTGCTGGGAACTTTGCTACAATAACCAAATATGATTTAATAATCACGGTGTGTATCTCAATCAGTGGTTCGTGCTTGACCGACTTATTTCGCTTGATGAGTCAGTTCGAATTTTATTATGTGCTTTGTGCTCATGTGATAATTTACGGAGTTAGTTGCGGGTTTTGTTTTTAAATAAAATATTATAATGTATCTAATTCAAAATATGTGCATTACAAGAAACTCGTTATTAGACAATTCATGAAATATATTTGTGAACTAATAGAGGACCATGTACAGCATTAAACTATTGCTGGCTAGTAAAAAAGAAAAGAAAAATAATGGTTTCGTTGTATTCTATAAATCACGAATAATATTCTTTATAAGTATAGGTTAAATATAAATGTAACATTTAAAAGGTCATGCTAATAAAAAAATAATCAAATATTATAATACATATTCATTATATTAAACAGTATGCACCACTATATCCAAAAAACGTGACTCAAAATGAATACGTAAGTGCATGTATTACAGATTATATAAGATAGGAAATATTTTTAAATTACGTTTTAAAAATCACCAACTCCGTAAATTCATCGCAACATAAGTGATCTTGACGTCTGTTTTGCCTTAATGTATAAAAATTATTCATTATGGAATAATTTTTTGCTCCGCCCGAACCAAACATAACGGAAATAGACACTTAGTTTATTTATAACTTGAAATCTCGTGTTTCTAATAACGATCTGATAATAATATGTACATTATGTATTAAGAGTAGTCGTCGACTAACTTTATACAATTGAATAGGGTTGGTTAACGAATTCGTTGGCAACTTATTGTCATTTCCACAATAAATATTAATTGTTCACAAAACTATTCGATAAATAAATATCCTTGCATCTTCTATCGATCTTAAAAAATATCGATTTATTTTAAAAATTATATTCGTCGTTTATCTCATTTACTCAGTGCATTTGAGTATAAATAATAAATTATCATTCGTATTCAACTTTATATATTTGTGGATATTATTTTCTTTATATTTATTTTAGCGTGCTTCCTTTTCGCACACTATTCGTAATACAGTGAAGTTAGTTAGAGCTAGAACGTCGCATATTACCGGCATACTAATTTCATTAATCTAAAAGGATATCAATTTAAAGAGAACGTGTCTATTCCCGCTCTGTAAGATCATTCGCACACCACACCGTGACATCGTACCGGAATGAAAATGGGGTTGGTATAGCAGCGGTCCTGCAGATCGTAGCTACAGAGAGAGGGCGCCACTCGCGATTTGCTCTCATCTCCTCCGAAGCATAGGCAGAGGGAGAGAGCGTTCCAGAAGCGAGATGGAGAGATTCGAGCCCGAAATGAGGCCACGCGCTCTACTATCGTAGAGGCTGCTGTAGTGAGGTGTTCGAAACGTTTTTCCTCCGTACTGTCCGTTGAGGCCTCCTTGTATTGGCAATGTCAAATATATTAGCTAGAAAATCTTTGTATTTCATATACTACAAGTATTGTTGTTTTTCTTTTTTTGGGGGACATTAATACCTCATCATAATTATTTATTATTCCCATCAAGTTAATGACAAAAAAATCCCTGTTTTTTACAACTTTGTAATTGCGTCATTAATTTTATTTTAGGTCTTTTGAATTCCTTATCAAGCGAAAACGTAGTAAGCTAGAGCAACTTCCCAATGTTTGCTTAAATGTTCTGCGGCCGGCGTCTATCTCGATCAAATATAGTCTGTCAATATTGACACCAGCGTCACAACGAGCGGTATTCCGCGGGCCTCAAGCGTAGCAATATATCGCCACCTTGTATGGTTAGAATTTTGAAATGGACCGGCGGATAATGGTTTGAACATTGAAGGCAGTTTACAGCAGCACAAAAATCTACTTTGAGATACTGACGTTTAAAGTTTGTTGTGTGATAATGATTGTATTGCTCGATGGTAACTGCTGTTACTGATATTATACTATATATTATGTCTATCACAACTAACTCTACTGGCTAACTCGATATCGTACACAAAGGATCAATCGGATACATTCAGTTATTTTATTTATGTAATTTTACACACGATGTAGATAAATATTTTTTTACTAGGCGAATCAATAAACTGTGCTTACAAAATGAAGAGGACGTTGATGCTATATTTGTACATGGTGTTGTAATTCGTTTAAATAGCATAATATTTACCTTTTTAATTTTGAAATGAATAAATAGTAAATACTTTATAGAACAAGTTTTTAATGACTGAGTTTTAATTTATTGTTTGATAAGCACACATTTGTATCTGTTCTTTACACTAAGTACATCGTTTCTTTTTGCGTAACAACGTAAAAATTAAAATAAACTTCTCTACAACAACGTACAAGGAATGTTATAGAACATATTATATTTTCATAATGTACTAAAGTGAATGTAATATGAGACAATCTTAATGTAAACATTGATACTATTTAGAAAAAACTTTCCGCTGCTTGCCATATTCCTTATTATGCCTAAACTTCTATACAAGAGCATAACGTGGATTTTCTCATTTTTTTTTCTTTTAACTCTGCATAAAAACCAATAAAATGTTTTTAAACATAAAAAGTAAATACATGACTTTTGAATTTTGCAGGACAGCGGTCGTAACCACTCTCTCAAGTAGGTGTACCTAAACTTAATGTTTATTTATTTTATATTCTAATGTTATCGCTGCAAGGTTCATATTCAAACGCATTATCGCGACCGGTCCATTAGTTCCAAATACCTTTTACAACAACTAGATAAAACGACATCAAGAAGGAAACAGCTAAGACTATAAAGTTAAGCATGCTCATCAATTCTGTATCGGATAGCCTCTAGAAGGAGAGTAACATCTAGAAGTATTCAAGCATTCGAGTTAATACAATGCAAACAACGACGCGGTTATATTTTGAGGGCGGGGCGCACAAGATACATGGGCGCAACAAGGTGGTTTGGAAGGAGTGGTAGTTTCAGCGTCCCTATAATTGAAATAAGTGGAGGAACTGCAGCTCGCCTGTTGCGCCCATGCTAGTGAACGTTAGCAATTGTGGACGTTACCTCGAACTGCGGCCACGCCATGGCCATGTTAACGCCGTGGTTGTTCGCCCACCACTTGAGGTCCTTCTGGTGGTCGGCATTGTTTATCGTATGATGGAATTCTTCGTAAATCTGTGGTAAACTGAAACGGTACGAAATGTTTGATTAGATTCCATTGCACATTATAATAGTATACTCTATACCCTACTTTTTAATGAAAACTATGTCTTGGTAACACAGCGACATCTATGAAAACTAATGTCTTCACTTTTATTGTATTTGACTAGCTTCGATTGTAATCTATAAATAATATATGCATAATTAAATAGATGGCGCTAAACCTAGCCACAACTTATCAAATGGAACTATATAAACCGATGTACGACGAACATCATGTATCAGAGTTCAGACTTTTTTCGAACATCAACCTATCTCGTAGTAACATTTAAACTACTAATGCTTAAATACTCTAACGCTGCCCGATTTTAAGATGACGTAAGTCTCGCGCTGACTCTATCACCTTAAATCAAACTGACTGTGACACCACAAGACTTAACGAGTCTTCGACGAACATCTTAAGATCTAGGAGCGTTTGAGTATTTAGCCATGAGTCGTGTATCTAAAAGTTTCCATAGTCCCAGGAATTTACAATGTTTATCGATTATTATGAAGAAACATACTTCTTCTTCTTCATCATCAGTGTACAAGTCCATTGCTGGACATGTGCATTTCTCTGTTATAGGGAGAATATGCCCAAACCACGCTGGACAGGCGAATTGACGATCGCAATACCAGATGTTTCGCACTTTTGACGTTGCTGTCCGTAGCCTATGATGGTTGTGTCACAACTTTCCGAGCTAGATTTCATGACTCATATTATAGATGGTGGTATTTTAGATTTATTGTAATCGCGTTTACCACACCCACGCGGGACACAATGGGGTGATAGATTATCTTACTTACCACCACACATTTAGAAGTATTATATGGTAATTAATTTGTACCCGGAGTGGCAATGTGGAGTAGTTTGTGAGACATGATGTGGTACTGAAATCCAAAATCCACCCGCCAAATTATCCGATTACGACATATCCTTCCTACAATGCAAGGTTGGCAGAAATAAAGGATGCAATGATAGGCTGATAAAAAGACGATTCAGAAGTATTTTATATTTAAGAAATCGTATAAATCCCTGAAGTAATGTAAAATGTAACGTTTTTTTAAAGTTATTTTTTTCTAATTATTTTAAATTATAAGAATGTTAGTAAGAGAGTTAGTGCAAACATTTGTGGCACTATATCGTATCCTGTTCAGTTGACAGCTTCCGAAGCCGACGTGTTTGGAAGATATCATCGCGATACATACAATTTTTTTATAGAACCTATTGGGACAAACAAACACAGTCTACCTGATTGTAAGTGACTGCTTTGATCTATAGAAGCCTACATCTACATCACATTTGATGCGTTAGTTCTATTGTTAATTTTGTGCTTATGAGGACAAAGATAGGCTGCCTCGTTCACCAGGAAAAAATAATGTCCCTGTTCTCTACACTCACCATATAATGAATAGACTTTTGTTAAGTCAATGCGCTTCACCATCTTAGGCTACATCACCACTTACCATCAGGTGGGATCGTAGATAAGCGCTGGCTTAGTAGAATATAAAAAAAATATATAAAACTAAGTACCTTTATGTGGCTATTTAAGGCTAGTATTTTGTAAGGGCACAATCTTTTCCCGGTCGAGCCGAGCCGTTTATGCTGCAGCGTGCCTCTACCACTTCCAAAGGCTACTAGATCTAGAGGTGTACTCACGTGGGTTCCTGGCTGATGTTGAGGCATTTGTGAAAACTAAACAACACGTCCTTGAAGAATGTGAGCCTCTGCGCCTCCATCTGCTGACACCGGTCGAACACGCTGGTCATGTCTTCGATGTATCGCGGGTTGTAAGCTGTGATCTCCGCTAGCGCCGCTTGATATTTCTCGCGAGACTTCGACACTTCCTCTCTACACTTCGCCACGCGTTCCGCCATTTTTTTCACCTACGGATAGAAAAATTATTCATGTTTTTTATGTGAAAAGCTTATGCAAGGATTATTTATAAGAAAGTATGTAAATATGGGCTCAGTTAAGTTAAGATTTCTTTTATTTATTTGTACACAAACAGAGACAGAGGTTTATTTGACATGCGATGAGTTCAGTTTAGTTATTTAATAACACTGATTTTATTTTTGACTTAACTTACCCTTAAGGTATAATAGAGTAAAATATAGGCCCGTGCATAGGCGTAGCTAGGGGGTACGATGGGCACGACTCCCTAGAAAATCTAGTGCCTCTCTGAAAACTTGGGTAGTTTCAATATTACACGAGAAAAAATTCTAACGCTGCTGTCTAGCATTGCATCAACAGAGGTTACGTTAGGAGGGAATGTATGTGTCCCCCAGAAGATTTATGAGAAAAATATACTATGCCAATTTGGTGTATGTCGAGTGATGACAACGTAAAAGAATACTAACTGTCCCATTTTCCCTCACGGTTGTCTACTATGGGAAACCCAACTATGGAAAAAGTCAGAAAAATCTCATTCTCTCACTTTGATAGCAACATCACTATCTATCGGAGACTTACAGTATAAAGCAGATAAAAAATACTCAGTCCGACGACGCGACGGGGGGTACGGCCAAAAATGTGACATACCTGGTGCTACGATTGACATCCGCCTGCCAATTGTGTCGATTATTGTAAATTCTCCATACAATGGAAGAGACCCATGTCCAGCAGTGGACAGTTAGGGGCTGATAAATTAAGAAAAAAGAAGAAGAATAAAGAAACATATATACATCCCTCAATCATATTAAATTCTAACATTCCTACAGCTTCCTTTAAACGATAGGTACCTATTTTAAAATATAAAAATATGTATGGTTGTGATTGTAATTATTTCCATTTATTATTTTTAAATAAACTAAGGGATTGATTTTAAAGAAAACTAATTAGGTATTCACTATGAAAGAGACGCACTTATTAACGTTTTGTGTGTTCCTAGGATGGAGAACTCAAACAACCGTCGTTTTCAATTCGTTACCATAGTTAATCAACTGAAAACAAAGCCAACTTAAGCGCACAATACAAAACAACCAAAACAACCAAAAATACGACACAAATATCACTGAAATAAGCGTTTGTTTTATTAATATATTACATGACATTTACACAATTAGGGAATAATGGATCATTTGATCAATGGTTTGATTTAATAAGAATGCACTTTAATAATAACAAAACAATATCTTTATTATCTTAAAGAAACACCTTACTAGGCGGTAGAACTCCTTTTCTACTAGAAGCCCGTGCGGGTAGGTACAACCATAGGTCAAGTAATAATTACTATATAAGTATCACCGTTTTATCTATATCTGCCGTCAAGTAGAAGCACCACTGTTTTCTGATCAAAGGGGTAAAGATGGCCAATATAATTACAGGCTGTGAATCGTATTTTATTAGCGTTCACAGGTGAAAAGCATCTGTAGCCCTCTTTGTCTAAAAGCGGTTACAGGCGTCCATGGGCTGCAGTAGCCACTTACCAACAGGTACACTAAGTAAATACGTTTGTCACTTCAGTTTTATATTTTAAAAAAAAAACGTATTTTTAATTTGTGATTTTTTATAATATAACCCTTGGTGGAAAGCATTATAATTATAGTTAATACACCTTATGACTGGTTTCTGTTTAAATACGTTCACTTTTCTCCTTTGACCTCTTCAATATCGCAAATGATGACTAGATTTATAAAACAAAATACTTACTGGATTTACATATGGTTTAAAGTTCGAATACTTTGAAATAAGTTTTTACATTTTATATAGGTACAATGCATATTTAATTAAACATATCGTGTAACATAGAAAGACACGTTTCTTAAATATAAGAAACGTGTATTAATCACTATGAAAAGAATGGCGACTTTACCTAAGGGGACAGTTCTGAAACTTAAATGAAGTATATATATATATACTTAAATGAAGTGTCTATTTAGGAACGTTACTAAGGAAGGAATAAAATCAAGTTCCACTTGTACACTCTCAAGTGCTCAATGATTGGGGGTGGTGAGGGGAAAGGGAGAATTTCGGCGTCATATAATAACCACCTTCAGCGGTTTATGTCCAAGCGAATTAACCAAACGATATCAAACGATAAGGGAAGACAACTAAAAACCTATTCTAAATGTACATCATGAAATAATATAAGAAACTGAAATATCATACATGGTAGAACCATGTTGCAGCTATATTATTATTGTAACACGAATGGGTCGGCTCGACCGGGGATGATCCACGCTTTCACAGAATACCAGCGTAAAATAGCATCTCAATCCTGCTGTGTTTCGTATAGTGAATGTAGAGAGCCGGAGATGCTTTTTTACTGGATAAGAGGAGTTCCATCGTAGCCCTCGGGGGTGACAACGCATCTGTATTTTTAATTCTTAATCGAGGACAGATGTAGATGTCTATGGGCCACAACATCCACTCATCTCCATCAGACGGGCTGTGTGCTATCTATTCACCCTTATTCTTAAAAACAAAGTGCACCATAATATACCTAAAGTTAATACAAAACAAAAATAATTAGCCAAATACTTTAAAACACACAAAAATCATAATTATTTACGAAATCAACGACATCTATAGTATTTAGTGTGTCAATAACTAGCAGGTCATAAAAATAGGAAACACAAAACGCTACATTAGCAGATAAAAGCTGTAAAAATAAGCTTGGTCTTACCAAAATCATTTGCTGTTGACAAAAGAAAATTTATTAATAAAATATAGGTTACTTTATTTATTTTATGTCGAAAATACAACTGAGGGAAGGCAATAAAAATGTAACAAATAAATTCAATTATTAAAATTATGAACGTAACATTTTTCATTTCCGAAATTTTCGCAAATATGAAAAAGAATATCTTTACTCCTTACATATAAAATAATTATTTCATAATATATTTTTCATTCATCCATCCATCCATTACAGCTAAACATATAGGCCTCCCCCATTAACCTCTACGAGGCAATACATTTTATTAAGAAACATTTTTTTATATATGTATATATAAGGGTAACAAAAGAGCACACAGTCCACCTGATGGAAAGTGGTTGCTGTGGCCCATAGACATCTACATCTATCCTCGATTACAAATCAAAATGCAGATGTGTTATCACCCGTGAGGACTAAGATTGAATGCCTCGTTTCCAGGGGTCTCCGGTTCTCTACACTCACCATACGAAACACATTCAGCATTAAGTTAAGCTGGTATTCTGTGAGAGCGTGGTCCTCCCCGGTCCACCGAGCACCCATTCGAGCTACAACTATAGCAGTAATATAGCTGCAGCATGGCTCTAACACGTAAAAACATTTTTCAACAGTCAACCGTATTTTATAATTTATGTTCGTTTAGCATGCTGGTATAAAGTATTGACAGTGAAAAACACGAGTTTTTTATGAATAGGCCAAAATTTTACGATGAAATAAAAGCAGAGCTTATAAAGATTTTTCAAATTACAAGTGAACAGGCCGTGTTTTATATCTGAAGTGGACTGAACTCAAAGAACAACAAAAAACAGTATTTTTATTTACGCTTTATTTTGGAAGACATGTGGTGTGGAGACGCTATAAAAGTATAATCGAATAATATAAACATTATTAGATGTTGTGATCAGGATCAAGAAAGGAGGAAATGCTTCCGTGGTTTGGACATGTAGAAAAAGAAGAAAGTGAGTGGCAGAGTCAGCAAGGGTCGCCTTAGACGGAAATTTACCCAACAAATTTCAGATATATTGAAAATTGGCGAAATCAAGAGTACCCTAAACCGGCGAGCATGTATACGGAGATTTATGGATGTGAAAGAAGCGACAGAAATGTGTCAGGTTCGAACCAAATGGTAGTACGTAATCTCAGTTTACTCCGCTGTAGCTACATTGTGGTTACAGCACGAATGGGTCGCCTGGACCGGGGTTCTCGCTCTGACAGAATACTAGCGTAAAATAGCAGCTTAATGCTGTTGTGTTTCGTATGGTGAGTGTAGAAAACCGGAGAGCCCTTTTTACTGGAAAAGAAGCATTCCATCTCAGTCCTCAGAGGTGACAATGCATCCGCATTTTGATTCTTAACCGAGGATAAATGTAGATGTACTATGGCCCATAGCATCCACTTACCATCAGCACGGCTAGCATGCGATGGGGACAAAAAATTATCCCCCGATTATATCCACTGACAAGAGATAAAATTATCTTGTCCTTATGCGAAAACACGCAACGGGGAGAAGTATATTCCCGTTTGACATAACGAGTAGACATACGAGTATATCCCCGTCCGTAGTATGGAGCCAAATAAAAGATAAAATATTAAACTTTTTTGACATTTGAAAGGGATAATTTTATACTAGTTCGTTGGACGTGGATTTAAGTTTATTTTCATACAAAAAATCTATCTAAGTCTAACTCTATCTGTGCCCATGCTCGAAGGGTGGATAAAACTAAGCGAAGGGATAAACATTTTCTCCTATCCCCGGGGATAAAATTGGCCCCTGCCCATGCTAGTCCTGCAGGTTTGTTACCCTTATTCTATAAAAAGAAAGAGTTATATTAGGTATAATAATTCACAAAATGTGAAATCCTCCAGTATTGTTTAATGAGAAGTTGTCTACACTTCACAATCACACATATTATACAATAATGTACAATAACACAAGCAAAATTAGTTATGAAATCTCTTAATCGAGATCTCACACAAGGTTGTTCCAAAACAGTAGTGATATAGTCATTTAGATTTGCAAGCGCGGAACTATACCTCATAAACGCCGCCTCAAGTTGCCATGAATATTTTAACACCGGCATTACTTCTTTCTTCATAATACTCTTAAAAATTACTTAGGAAACCTATAAAAGGAAATTGGGACATAACGAGGTCATTTCGTAAGTGACGACACACATAGATGGCGGTATATCATCTCGTATATAACAGATGTAAATATGTTGAGCGGTG